TGGAAAAGCTCATATAAAATTTAAATCCTGTATAAAACAGTTCCTTTTTCCATGATGGACTATTGGCTTTTCCTTGAGTTTATAATCTATATCCCATGCCTTGATTTACTCAGCCATGCCTAAAATGCACTTTTTGTATTTTAGCTGAGCTGATTCTTGTGAGCAGGGACTGTTGATGGGAGCATGAAATAGCTCCTTTGCTAGAGCTCTGTCTCCATGGGTGGTATTATGAGCCACGTGCTTTCAAATCTGAGTCCAAGCTGGGAGTTCTGTAGACACCCAGGTCTGGGTGGGTTTTTTTTTGTTTTGTTTTTTTTTTTATGAATCTCAGGGAAGCCATTCAGTTTCTGAGCTAGCCTCACACATTTCATTTATCCACAATAATAAGAATATCAATACCTTGGATTTATGTAGAGCTGTTCATCCAAAAAGGTCAAAGCATTTTAATTTAATTGGATGTTCCTGTGGCTTTAAGAGCCTCTGGGTATATTTACAAACGTAATACTAAAACCAGTCTGCCCTCGTTTACAAAATAATAGACACCATAAAACAGGACCTGCATATACAGTTTCTTGCCCTTACTGTACAGTGGAATCAAACGTGTAGCCATGAGGTTTGAGATCTTTTCTGAGATGATCTCTTACCTTATGACACTGTCTCTGCCAGGGAACTGTTTATTCTAGACAAATTATCCCCAAATAGGATGTGTGTTTTCACTTTGTAACCTGTCCAGAGGAAACTTCTCTTCCTTTTTAGGGATTTAAGTCTCTATTTCTTTAATTATAACCTACCTATTCCATGAAGACCTTTCTAGTCATCCTAGCCTTCGCTAATTATTTCTCAGGGAAACATATAGAGCATTTATTTTCTTATTATTTAGGCATTCAGTGGATTCTGTGGTTTATGGTCATTTCTTTTTTTTTTTTTTTTTTGGTCTTTTTGAGATAGGGTCTCGCTGTGCAGTTCAGGCTGGCCTTCAGCTCACTTTGTAGCTCAGGCTGGTCTCGAACTTGCAACAATCCTCCCGCCTCAGCCTCCCGAGTGCTGGGATTACAGGCATGCGCCACCACGCCCGGTTTATGGTCATTTCTATATTTCCTTTTTTTTTTTTTTTTTTTATTTCCCTGTACAGCATGTCAGAGTTTCCACACAGAATAGTCTGTAATTAATCTCTTAGATGTTTATAAATATTAGTTGGTTCCTAGTAGCCTGGTGAGTTTGGTAGTCTGTGTTGAAGCTGAAGGTGATAAATGGGGAAGCCTACTCATCCTTCCCCAGATTTTGTTTTTCCTTGTTCAGAGTATAGGTTGGAGTTAGTCTGAAAGGCCACTTAGAATAGAGGAAATGTTTAAGAGCAGGGATGTGTTTGTGACCTGAAGATAAAAGGTATAGTAAGGATGTGGAGGAAGGAGAACAATCAAAACAATTTATTGAATGAAGAGTTAATTTGAGTGTGTTAATTTAATTATCACCAATTGCATTTCCTGTATGTGATAAAAGTAGTCCATTATTTTGACATTTATCCAATTCTTGCCTTTTTAAAAAAAGTATTTTTATTTATTTCTGTTTACAAGTTTTGGAAACCACAAAAAAGTGTAATAAAAAAATGAAAAATTGCCCACATTATGGTGCCTTAAAAAAACTTCATATTACCAACAGAGATATCTTCTAAACAAAATTAGCACCATATTTTGGTAATTATAGCTGGTATTTACCAAGTGCTAATGATGCATATTTTACAGTTTTACGGTTGCTCTCTGAATGAAGTTGTATTAATACCTGATAAGGAAACTGAGGTACAGAATGGTTAAGTAACCTCCAAAAAGCTACCTAACTGGCAAGTGGAGACCTAGGCTTGAATATAGGCACAACATGCATTCTTTATTTTTTTCATTGTTGTAAAATATGTGTAACATAAAATTTATTATTTTAAACTATCCAAAAATGTATCATTTAGTGGCTTTTATACAGCCAACACTATTTAGTTTCTGAACATTTCGTCATCCCGAGAAGAAATGCCATATCCATTAAGTAGTCTTCCCTTCCCCCGTTCTGAGTTGTCACTGATCTGCCTTCTGATTATTTCATACAAATGGAATCAAACACTACATGGCCTTTGAGTCTCACTTCTTGCACTTAACACAGTGTTTTAGGGTTCCTCACTGTTGTACTATTCATCAATACTGCATCCATTTTTATGGCTTGCAATAATACCTTGTGTAAAGGTCAACAGTGTATTATAGATTGTTTCATATTTGTTTACCCCACAATCATGTTCAATACTGATGCACATTTAAATTATTCCTACCTTCTAACTACTGTGAACATTACTGCTATAAATGCTTATGTACAACTTTTTTTGGACAATTAGTTCTCTTGTATTTATATCTATGAGTGGAATTGCTGGGGCATTTTTAAAGGTTTGAGAAACTACGAACTGTTTCTAGTGGCGGAACCATTTCACATTCTCAAACACAATGTACAAAGGTTCCAATTTCTCTACATATTTTCCAGCATTTATTTTTCCCCTCCAAGAAGTTACAGCCAACCTAGTTAAGTGCTATTTCATCACTGTTTTGAATTGCATTTCTCTAATGATTAATCATGTGGAGCATTTTTTCATATGCTTGTTGACAGTTTGTGTATCTCCTATGGAGAAATGTCTTTTCAAGTCCATTGTCCAGGTTAAATATTTTCTAATCTTTTATTGTTGAGGTGTAAGTTTTTTTTTTTTTTTTTAATACTCTGGATATAGGGTCTGGGGATTTAGCTCAGCGGTAAAAGCACCTGCCTGGCAAGTGCAAGGTCGTGAGTTCAGTTCCTGGTACCGGAGAAAAACAAAAAAAACAAAACAAAACAAATACTCTGGATATAATATTCTCATAAGACATTTATCAGATATATGATTAGCTCTCATTCTGTGGTGTGTATTTTCTTCATGGTGTCCTTTGATGTACAAGAGTTTTAATTTTGATGAAGTCCTCTTTATCTGGTTTTTTTTTCTTCTTTTGTTGCTTATGGTTTTAGTATTATATGGTAATCTATTGCCAAATATAACTTCCAGTATTTTATCAGCTAGAAATAGTGGAAGTGGCCATCTGTCTCTTGCACCAGATCTTAGTAGGTACGATTTTGGTTTTTCTCCTTATTTTGATATTCATTGTAGATTTAAAAATATTCCCTTTATGACATTTACAAAGTTCCATTCCAGTTCTAGTTTTCTCTGTGTTTTGATTATGACAGCCTGGTGGACCTGGACAAAAGATTATTTTCTGCATCAACTGAGATAACTGTGTACTTTTCCCCTCAAAGAACTGCATTCTTGGGCCTGGGGATTTAGCTCAGTGGCACAGTGTCTGCCCGGCAAGCGCAAGGTTGTGAGTTCAATCCCTGGTACCAGAAAAAAACAAAACAAAACAAAACAAAAAGAACTATATTCTTAACTACTAGGCCCATTTACTTTTCTAATTATTTATAGCCTGTTTTTTGTACTTACACTGTGAAACATTTTTCTGGTCAATAATCATTAAAAATATGATTTTTAATGGGTATGTTATTTTCTTGTATGAAGTTTGCATAATTTATTCAATCCTCTATGTTGTTTCAAAGATTTCATTATTTTAATTGTATCTCTATTTCTTTGGAACAAAGTTCTGACGACCGGAGCGACTGTGCTGAGTGCCTTTAAGTTCTCATATATATAACTTCTCACTAATCTTAAAAAAATCAATGTGAACTACTTACCAGCTTGGTATCCACTTAACGAAAGCTTGCTGCTCCCCAACTCCGAAGCATCGGCTTTCTACTCACCTTTGAAGTTCTTCACTCTTTACAGCTACTGAGCAAAATCACCTCCTTTCTTCTTTGTCAGTATACTTGTTCCTCCGTCTACTCACTTTCCATGAGCTAACTGAATGCAAGAAGTATTACAAACTTACCGTAAAACCGTTAGTAAAGCCACATGCACTATTACTACCTATATTTTATTTAACTTGGAAAGAAAGGGAATCTGCAATTTGGTCATTTTTGTTTTTCATTGTGTATCTTTTATTAATATTCATTGTGTGTCCCTGCAAATGTTTTTTAAGGTTATCTGGAAATACGGTTACACTGGAAAGAATTCAACTCACACATAAAAGAAATATAGAAACATTTACTTTCTGAAAACACCAACGAAAGAAAAGCATTTGCTTGGATTTTTAAAAAAATCACCCTTCCACCTGGGACTGTTCTTTTTTTTTTTTCTTTTTGAGACAGGGTTTCACTATGCAGTTCAGGGTGCCCTTGAGCTCACTTTGTAGTCCAGGCTAGTCTCGAAGTGACAAAGATCCTCCTGCCTCAGCCTTAGGAGTGCTGGAATTACAGGCGTGCGCCACCATGCCTGGTTCCCGCTGGTACTGTTTACTGAACCTAGGGTATTCATGCTAAGCTACATTTCCAGTCCTTTTAAAAATGTGAGTCTGATTTTCGCTAAATCGCTAAACTGCCCATATTGGGCTGGAATTTGAGACCTTTCTGCTCCACCTTTCCAGAATGTATTAAAGGCATGGGCCACCACGCCCAGCTAAAAATCACTTATATTTAAAGTGAAAACTTTGTAAGTAGGCCTCAGACGTGGAACCCGTTCCACTTGAACACATTCCCTCACACACACATTTTATCGTTATCAGGTAAATTTGACTAAAAACTGGGTTAAATTCCTAGTACAGCAAAACAAAAAATTCTAAAAGGAAGCACACTGAAAAAAGCTCCGGATTTAACGAAGACTCTCATCAGAAGACCTAGGCAAGTCCTTACTTGTTTAGTTCAAGGTCCTCCGAGGGAGCCCGGATGGTGAACTACGATTCCCAGAGCGCTTCGAGCGAACCCTTGCGCCGCGGCATCAAGACTTTTTCTTTTGTCCCGCCTTCTCACTCCAGTGATTGGACAATCTACTTCCGTGTCTCTCAGTTCTGTTCTCTCATTGGTGCAGACTCAGGCGGGGTCAAAGACGGAGTTTACGTTCGCCTCGCTTCTGTCAAGCCCACCGGCTCGCTCCTCCGTGCCAAGATGGCGGCAGAAGCAGCTGGTGGGAAATACAGGAGCACAGTCAACAAAAGCAAAGACCCCTCGGGGCTGCTCATCTCTGTGATCAGGTGAGGGAGGCAGGAGGCAGGGTCGGGGACAGGGGGCAGCGGCTCGACCTCCGCTTTGGAAGGGAGAGGGTTTAGCCTGGTTCCACCCTGCTGACCCTTGCCTTTCTCCGTGCCTCCCCAGCCCCTCCCCAGAGCTTCAGCAGTTCTCCCCCTCTCAGCCTCAGCGTTAACCCCGCCCCCTTTTCCTCCTCTGGATTTGGGTTGAGAGGGAGGAGCCCCGCCCCACAGCCTTCTTTAGGGTCCTTGGGTCCCGGAAACACTGCTGCTGGGTGTTGGTAGAGGAAGCCAGGTAGAAGATGTGTTCGTTCATTCGTGAAGCACTTACGGATTCATTACCTGTAGTAGCGCTCACTGAGAAAGGCGTCTTGTGTCTTGAACGTGTGGATGTAGGGCTCAGGAGTCCAGAATCACGTGTCACGAGTTGCATTTTGTCCAGCTCTGGGCACTTTGCACCACCTGTGAACGGCAGCAGCCTCCAATGCAAGACTCTGCAGTGAGCTGATAGAAGGAGTGTGGGTTTGAAGGCACACATCTGCCTTTCGATTTTTGTTCTGTTCCTTCCTGCTTTACTATCCGGGTTTCTTCCTTAAAAACAAAACAAATTTCAAGTTATCCTCTATGCATTTTTTTGCGCCTGAGAATCGTGGCATGAGAGTTGGAGTGGTGGACCTTTTAGGCACTTTTTATTTCTTTTTAAAAGTGAAATAAACTGAGCACGTGTAAGGATTATACAGGGAATGACCATAAACAACCTGAATAAAAAGTATTATGACACATTTTTACTTTGTTGGTATTTGAATTTCAGCTGGGATATTTTTCATGGAACAAACACCCTTCCCCTTGCCTCCTTTCCCCACACCTAATGTTAAAGTTTAGTTTGAGTTCTTGAAGGGCTCCTTGACTGTTACGATAATTACTCCCTACCCGCCCCCCTCCCGCCCGGTCCCATTTAACCTAGGGCAGGGCTTTTGCAATGAGCTACAACCCCAGCCCTTTTTAATTTTTTACATTTTGAGACGGGCTTCCTTTTAGTTGCATAAGCTGGGCTCGAACTTGCCATCTTCCTGCCTCAGCATCTCAGAGTGCAGGGATTACAGGCGTGCACCACCCATGCCAGGCTCTGATGATCTTTTTAAAACCCAGAGGCCAACAACATCTGGTAGGTTCCAAGCGCCAGACTTGTAACAGCTTACCACTTGTGGGCTGATACTCATCTTATTGGTCTTATTTAGAGAACTGTAAGATTATGGGTAGTTAAATAATTGAGTTTTGTTTATAATTAAGAAAATCATTCTTTTCTATGGAAATAATAGACTTGGTAGATCATACTAAAGGCATTCATTGTATTGTGGATCTATAGGGGCACATTCTTGTTTTGCCAGTACATAAGTAGTATAGATGTGTCTCGTGATACTAAAGCTCTAGTCAGAGTATTTGTAGTTTCTCAAGCTTATCTTCTGTGGAGTTATAATAGATGATTTTATTTGGATTCTTCTTTGAACTTAGTTTTCTTCCTTGTAGTTAACATTCATTTAAACAGTGACTGCTGAGTGCTAGTTTATAGTGTGGTGCCCAGTTCTACAGGTATTATCAAATATCTGTAGAAGGAATGAGTGGGTGTTCTGAGTTTTGCAAATACAAATCAGATATATTATCGTTGAGATTATAGTCTACCTGGGGGATAAAATATGCATAGAAAGTATAATATAGCCCTAGAAGGGAGATAAAATGTTAGAGAAATTCAGGAGAAAGAAATTCATTGTCACTTCTAATGAAAGTGGAGTGAGAGTTTGGGAAATTAACAACTATTTACAAAGTTTTAAAAACTAAAACTATTTAAAAAATTTATTTACATTCTCATCTGTGTTCTTTTGGTTCTGTAGGCTGTTCACATTTTCTTTATATCAGTTTCTTTAATATTGAAAATTATCCTAAATGTCTGATATATCAGAACAGCATGAAGTCCAACGCAAAGCTTTTTTTACTGATACTGATTCAGAGATGTGCATTACCTTTCGTGGAACATTCTTTTGTGTTCTCCAAGGAGAATATCTTGCTGCTGGGTGGTCTGCAGTGTGATTTTGTGATTATCCATCTCTTATGCTGAATTGTATTACCTTCACTTTTTGACCTGGATTTGAGCTTGGGCATTTTTTACTTTTGACCTCTGGTGTATATTACTACTTTTCATTTTTCTCCTTATCCTTTATGCTGCTGTGTATTTTAACACTTTTACTTTATTATATTTGTTACAAACTTGGTAACAGGGAATGGACATCCAGACCTAGCATTCAGGGCACATTTAGTTCAGATTGGTGTTTGTGGTTGTATATGGCCACAGGACTGAATGTTGTTGGTATTGCAGTGTTGGTGTATGAATATCAACATTTCTTGGAGTCACTGGAGAATTTGGAGGTTGAAGTGAGAGAGTTACAAGCTTTCTTTCCTTATTTTCTTTCTGATATGCTTTTGAATTTATCCAGTGGTTTAAATTTCATAAGCAGTGGCAGAGAATGAGAAAGTGGTAGTGTTTCTTTGGTGTTTGGGATTTGAGGTTAGGAGAGGATCCTCTAGGTCACTCTGAAGTTGCTCTTTTGTGTGTCTATTCAATCATTTGTGTTAGTCTTGAAGCATTATATTCATTTTTTCTTAACTCATATAACACTTTAATTATGTCCGATCCTTAACATTTTTTCACATTCTCAAAGACTGTAGCTTTACTGGTTGCTTTGGCAACAAGCCTCAAAAAGGAAAACCCGTTTTAGGCTTATGTTTATAAAGTCTGAGCTTCCATGAAGATATACCTGGTACATGGCAGCTCTTTCACATTTTCCTATTGTTTTTCATAAAATAAGTTGTTAGTGATAGAGTCCACTGTCCTGTAAAAAAATTTGATGGGTTTAGTTTTATATTTTTATATTATTGAGTAGTTTTCTGTATTGAATGTTAAAAATTCATTTCTTGATCAGATACTTAAAAAGGTAATTTCTTTACTACATTATGTATTGTGACACTTTATATTGTTTTAAAATTGCTGTTCTCAGGAGATTATATTTTGCTAGTGTGATAGTGTGTCATTTTAAAGCATTTAGAGGCCAAAGTAATTTAAAGATACAGTACGTATAGTGTAATTGTAATAAAAGCATTATGTTTGGTAGATGGATTAAGTACCTTGAGACTCAATAAAGTTAATAATCTTTTAAAAATATTGAGTAAAAATACTTTAGGACAGTCAGGCATTTGAGGGGGTAGAGTCCCTGTGTTTCATGGGGAGGTCCTCAGACCTATGAGGAGGGGCTGCAGTGAGACAGATGGTGCTTGGGATTTAGTCTGTTGGAGGCTGCTGCTAATCGTGCAGCTTTTGGGTTTAAATCTTGCCACTGGCCCTTTAAAATAGAACTAATTAGGTGGACAGAGTCCGGACTACCTGCTGGTGTACAATTTGGACAGTTTTACACACATGCGTGTATGCACACACACATGCCCAGACTTTTCTTCCCTTTTTCTGTTGATCTCCCCTCCCCAGCCTTTTGTTTGGGTGAAGTTGAGGGAAGCAGCCTCTCTAAATGGGAAATAGACAGCGTGGCATTTGGGAGATGTCGTTTTATTTTTGTAGTTTTTGTCAGATTTTTAATTGGGAAATGTGTCTACCACTCACTGTTAGGTGATTTGCTTTCCAATTAAATGTTGTCTTTCTCTTCTTTGTAAGTTGGCCCGAGATAGGCAGTTTAATTGGGTAACCAAACTTTGGTTGTGACTGAAGAAGACCTTATTGAAACCTTGGAGCAGATCTTTCGTGGACAGACTGATTATAGATGTCAAAGAGGTTTGAAGAGTGTTGAAGGCTTGTATTTTCATCAACTTTTATGACTGCACAGAAGTTGAAATTTCAAAAACTTAGAAAATCCTTTATTGTAGACACCTGTTAAATTTCCTTCCTCCTCAGACTGTAGTTAATTCAAAGTAAACTTAGATGGAGGGGCCCAGGCTTTGATCAAGGCTTTGAACAAATAGCTTTGAGGTTCATGACAGAGTTTGTGACAGGAAAGGAATGTAGTCACTGTATTCTGAATGGAGTCCTGGAAGTTGGTTCGGTATTCATGGTTCCAGCACCAGTTCTTCTCCTCATTTTTGACAGCTTCATGAAGGATTTTAGGTTTCAGTTCTTTTTGTGTCCTTGCAGAATCTTGGCACTGGCAAAACAGAATTGTTTCAAAAAAGAATATGTGGTCAAATTTTTCAATCCATCACTTAATAGATATGTGTGGTCATACCCCTTAGAAGTGCGATATGGGTTGTTGTGTGGTTAAATACTGGTAGAAACCTATATAGGTCTGTAACCCATATAACTTGGGAGCAGTTATAAAATCCCCATGTCTTAGTTTCTCATTTGTAAGATAGGTTGATAATTTGATCTGTGATTTTGAGGAGCATTAAGTGTGATAAGAGTATATAAAAAAAGTGACACGGTTTGGCACAGAAAAGAGACCTAAGTGTTCATTTCTTCCTTTCCAGGATCTGTAGCTTCTTTGATTAGAAATTTGATTTTAATAAATTTGTCTGATAGCAACCAGGGTATAATGTTAATTTTCCACCAGAAGTGTCCTTGCCAAGTTAACTAGTGTTTGATTCCATGTCAGAATGTTCTCTTTATAGCTAGGAAACCTTGTGCAGCTGAATTAAAATATCAGTTATTTGATGATTTGAGATTCAGCTCAAGAAGCTAGATTTATTTATATATATGTAAAATGTTCATATCTATGTATATATGTGTATGTATTATATGTATATGTTATGTATGTATATACGCTTTTGTGTGTAAAACAAAGTATAAGCTCACATAAAATAGAAAACATGCATTAGATTAAAAGACAACATAAATTACAAACAAGCAAATTAAGGGCCTGTGATCTCTTGTGCAGATATACTTTATTCTTGTATAAAAATTATATTGTACAAATTTTTGAAAAGAGTATAGTCATAAAAAAGGGCTATGTTTA